ATATATATTTTATTAAACTAAACATGTTTCTCTGGCAGCAATGGTCAAGGTAGGTTAAAATGATGTGACTCTGGGCAGGTGAACCCAGGCAACCTCTGTAGTAACCCAGTGTTTCCCCTTAACTTCCATGATCCATTATCATTGAAACTGGAATACTGGTCTCAGAACTTTCATATTCAAGTATAAAAAATGATTTTTTATTTTCCCTGTCTTGCTAACCAAGTGTTTGCATCAGGCTCCTATTTCCAAGCTCTCTAAAACCAAGAGCCAAATAAAAGATTTCATGACAAACCGTCAGATTTAAAACCTGGATCTTCTAGATCCTTGCTACAAAAGCGTGGACACTTCATTTGACCTCAGTATTTTCTGATAAAGTTCTGTATCTATATTTGGGTGAAATTAATGACTTTGAGGAACATTATAGAAATCCATCAAAATGGAAAATTTCTTTGGATTCTGGTACTATGCATGATAAATTGGGAGTTTTATTACTACGTTTAACCTTTAGCACATCTTTCTTTAAAGTATAGATTCAAATATAAAATCTAGCATTTGCAGACATTGTACTAATTTGTTACAGTCAGCCTTTTTAACCCATAAGGCTTTGAGTTCATAAAAGGGACATGAATTACAAGATGAGATCTAATATTTCCATCATTGCTACACATAATTTCTTTCCAGATTTTTTTTGTACTCATGAGAGAAAACCTCTGTGCACAGTGCAGATTCAATTGCTAAAAATTTCAATGAGAAGCAAGAAATATAGAAGTAAAAAGTAAATGTGTCATACATGTTTATTTCAGGTAAATATCATTTTCCCTTCATCTGAAATGAGTTTATCTTTTAAATTTGAGCAATTTGGCAGAACAAATAGATTCCTTTCTTTGAAACAAATCTAAGTTATTTATGTCAAATATTCTACCTAATGGAGGTATTGGGAACTGTTAACAGTTGCAAATAGATATGATAAAGAAGAAATAAATGATGTTCAGTTTCTGACTTTAGTTTCTTACTAGAGTACAAAGTCAGAGTTACTTATTTTTCATGTACTGCCATCATTGTTATCTTGATCTAATCTATGTCCAATAAAGATATGATCAGGAACTATTGCAAAGCCCACCAACTTTATGGCATGCATCAATCTGCTGACATTTTTCCACTTAGAAGCCCTTAAAAGCGGACTATAACTGATGGTTTATAATTTCTTAAAGAGAATTTATAAATTTCTCCTCTCTGCTTTGCCTTAGGAATATTTCAGAAATGCCCGGTCTAATGTTTCAAGAAGTTACCACAACTGCCAAAGCAGCCTCGGTAACTACGTGAAGCCTCACTTTAGCTTGTCACCGGTCTTTCAAGGAAAAGCTCAGGACAAAGAGAACATAATCTAAACAATCGATGGCAGGGCTTTAGTAAAGGAAATTCTTAATTCCTTTGTAATTCGTGTTCTTTTTATGAACTCAACAGAAATAATGCTATAAAAAATGGAGAGATGCCTATGTATAATATTAAGGCTTTTGTAGAAGCGTGTTGGAAAATGAAGTTCCTATTAATAAAATACAAATAATTTAGCTGCCACAGCTGGAGATCTCTAACTGCAGCACATCTTTCTGTAATTGCTCTAATCCTTGTGTGTTCTCTTGCTCTTTTTGCAGGCAGACCAGTAATGATTGTGGTGGAATATATGGAAAATGGTTCCCTAGACTCCTTTTTGCGGGTGAGGTGTTCTTTTCTGATGGCATTTAAATAAGCTATTCCGAGTTCTAGATTTCAATCATTTATCATAAATTAATTTTTGCATAATGTTATTCATGGATTTTTCCATGAAGAATAGCAGCATTTTCTCTAGGGTGCTTTTCTCTGTGATACATTAGTGTGTTACTAACGGGAGGAGTATATACACATAATAATATAATTGATTTCTGCTATAAATTCACATGCCATATTTATATATATATATTTCAAATGATGTTATAAAGAGAGTAAATGAAACCCAGTTGCCTCACATAAACATTCATTTTGCTTTTATCACATTTAACTATTCAGTATGATGTTTTATGCACGATCTATACTGCTAAACCCCTTAAATTGATGTGTATTTACCAGTAATGACTCAAGTTCATATCAGAAAACTGGTTTTATCCCTCTTAAATTCATTTGCCTGACTTTCAGAAAAGAAGAGAAATATGACAAAACTCTAGCAGAGATCTGTTTCAGAACAAAAATTTTTAAAGCACTCTTTGTAAAGTGACTTATCCAAGTGCTCGCTTTGTCAGCACATATACTAAAGTGACTTATCCTTGAGAGTATGGTGTGTACAAAAATCATTTGTGTTATAGAGTAGTAGAGAATAACAGAGCTGAGAAGGCACCATGAAGTTATATTTCAAATGTATTTATAATGTATTTAATATTTAAAAAGTTATCATATGTTACAAAAGTATTCATTGATAATAAAAACCAGAAATATAAAAAATAATCACTACAATAAATATTTTTCATTCCCAGCAGGGGTCACATATTTGAAGTCACTATATTCTTAAATATTTATCTATCTACAGAGACATGGCCATTTTTCTTACTTATTCTTGGACTTTTGCTATTTGGAACGTGTTACACTATTTTTTAATTTTTTTTATTTTGTCCAGTTAGCCAGCATATAATACATCAGTGTTACACTATTTTTTATCTTCCTTTTCATGTGATAAAAATGGTCTTGAGCATTCTTTCTTCACTTTATTTTTTGCTCTATGTTACCTGATCAGGTTCTGCATTTCACCTTTCTTTTTTGATCTCATTTTCATTTACTTTTCCTTGAGTTCATGCCCTCTTCTTCCAACCTCTCTCAATATTAGCAGTGATGATATATTTACCCTGCAACTGGACTTGATGTCCAGATTCAATGCCAGAAGCTGAATTCAGCAAAATCGTCCAGTTATTACAGAGCAATACTCCTCGCACAATGCAGACTCTCAACCAAAGTATGCACTTTAAGGCAAAATGAAATTCATAGGTATTTGGGGACACGAACTATTTGTTTTTTTGTTTCTTTCTGTAGCCATTCTCAGAATGCTATGTTATCGCTTGTATTCATTTCTCCTGTAAATGTGCTAAATTATTTTAGAATAATTTATCAGGACCACCTATGGTACTTGAAATGCATATATAGTTAGGCCCTTCCATTATGTTTATTCCAAAGCTCTTTTTTATCAGACACATACCAAAAAGACTTATTCTCTAATGATGCCTGGGATATGTTTTGGGTTTTTTTTTTATCAGCTATATCCTAGAGCTGAATATAATGGCAAATAATGTCGCACATACTCAATCTAAATTGCTGCTTAAAATTGGATCGAATGACTGCCTGCCACAGCAAATTTGGAGAGAATTGTTAGCTTGAGATATACTTTTTTATCCTGATGAATCCTGAATTAATTAAAAGACATTATAAAGAAAAGATAATATGTTATCAATAAAATATTTATTTGTAAACATCCTACTACATGTTTATAAGTGGTATACCATTACCTCTGCTATGAGAATCTTAATATATGTTAGCTCACCTTGGCTTGTCACTTATCAGCGGCGCGACCTTGTGACTTCAGCAAGTTACTAACTTGTGTGTGCCTCTGTTTACTTAACTATAAAATGGGAATATTAACAGCATCTACTGCATATAAGTGTCGAGAGGATCCATTGAGTCAATTATTGTAAAGCTTATAGAATAATACATGACGTATTGTAAGTGGTAGAGTGAAGATTCAAACTCAGGTCCCCGACTCAAAGCGATGTTCTCATACACTTTTTTTTTTTTTAAATCAAACTACTTATTACTTCTTTTTAGAAGCTCACTGTCATCTCCCCATGTGAACCTGTGTCCTGTCTGCATGTAGAATTTCTATTAAAATAAACATCATTGCGTGAGAAAAAAAATCCACAGGGCCCAATACTCCCTTCTTACCCTTTTTTAATATTCTTACCTTTCTTTGTAATCGTTTCTCTTTTACCCCAGAAGCTCAAAGTGCTATATAAACTTTATGTCAGTAGCAGACACTCAGCTCCCCATGGCAAGCAGAAATAAAATTTATAAAGATATATATCCTATAAATTCTCAAAAATGAAGTCATTTTTCAAACTACTGCTTTAGAATTTGATAATCGCAGCTTCTGTGAGCACAGAGGAAGTGGCTAAGTGCATTGCGTTGTAGGGAAGCAATCTGTGGCTCATTAATAGCATTCTGTGCTTACTAGAAGCAGAAAAGATTTCCCCTTGGTCTCCCACATATTTGAAAATCACTTTAGTTTACTGTTTTATATGAAAGAGTGGTAGCAAAACTAAGTACAAAATTACAATCTAGTGCCAGTGGTGGTGGCTGGCTGGCTGTGATATTGCACTAGATTCATAAATCATCTACTGTTCAGGATCCTTGTGGAGATTCCTCCAGATATATATTGGCAAGAGCTGGTGTGGTTAAGTGTCTGTGTTTGTGTGTGTGTGCGTGCACGTGTGTGTGTGTGTGTGCGCGGCGCAGTCAGAAGGGAGGTGGGTGGGTATGTAACTATATGTGCGTTTTTAATTTTAAAATAAAATGCATCCTGACTTAGCAAGCAGAGCATCAGCTCTGCTGCCTGGAATGTATGACCTCACTGATGGGCAAATATTCCTAACTTTTCCAAGTGTGGATTAAGTGTAATCTTAGCCATCATCCCTGCATGGTCTCTCTCAAACTATGCATTTGGATTTCATAAACACTTTTTGTAGCATGTACCTGGCAACTGCTTGCCCTTAAATCTTTGGACTTCCATTTTTATAACAATATTAACAAGCAATTCAAAAAAAACAGTTTTAAAATACTTAAAAACTTTGAGATACCATATGCCAACCACAAAAAGTTACTCCTTTATTTTATAATATTTGTTGAATGTGGGTTTGTTTATCAAATCACACAATTCAGCTATGTAAAAATATAATACCACTGGTTTCAGTATAAGATGTTATATTGTGTGTGTTCAGGCTACAGCCTCTTGTTGCCACCTCAAATCCTTTGATATGAGAGAAAAGATACAGATAAATTATTTGCAAAGCACAAAGAGAATGAGGGGGGATTCATAAAAACAAAATCCAACAAGATCAGATTGGGTAAGGAAACCATATTTCAAAACATAATTGGGAAAGGATGCCTAGGAGCAAGAAGAATGTGTGGAAGGTGGCGCTACAAACTGATTTGAAGATACAGAGTAGGAATAGGATGGGCTGGTCGTTGGGAGATGCTGAGTTTCATTTGGGTTGTATTCCATTTGAGATGTCTATGGAACATGCAGTGAACATGTCCAGACAGCAATTAGAAACGCAAATCTGAAGCTGAGGAGAAAAATACTGACTAAAGTTAAAGATCTGGTAGCTGGTAGCATAAGAGTGGTTATTAAAGCCAAACCGTATTTGCTAGGAAGAACTTTTAGAGAAAGGCAAGGAGCTGAACAAGGTTGGAACTCTGTGGCATGCCGGCCTGAGGAGGCAGCAGGGTAGTGTCTCCAAAGGTAACTAAGAATCAATGGTCAAAGGGGAACAAGGAGGGAGATGAGGACATGGAATCCTGCACACCAGGCAGGAGCAAATAAGCAACTGTATCAAGTGCAGCAGAGAAGTTCAGAGAAACAAAGACTGAAAAGCATCTATGGGATATACCACTTACGAGATCCTCTGTAATCTCAAGAGCATGTTTAATGGGTTGGTGCCAGGCAGAAGTCAGAATGCATAGGGCAAAATGAGAATGAAAGATGAATAGGAATTGGGGTTTTTGTGGGGGGGTAAAAAGTGCGTGAGATAGCAAGTCAAGAGAAAAATCAGTTGCTAGTGGACAAAAAGAAACATGAAGGCTATTTTTAAATAGAAAGAAATTTAGACCATTTATACACTGGGGGATAGGGAATTAAAGAAAATACATTGATAAGGCCAACTATCTCAGGATATGGGAAGGTACAAAATCAAGGACCCTGGTAAAAGATTGACTTTGAATAGTAGAGGCCTCCACATCTTCCAAGGCTGATGGGACTGTGTGTTGTCAATCCAGAGAGATTTATGAGAAGCATTAAACTGAAGGAAATGATACCTGATGTTGCATTTCTATATGAAGTAGGAGGAGAGTTTATTTGGGAGTTTGAGAACAAACCTTCATTTAAAGTGAATGTTTAGAATAATTGCTGAAGTTAAAAAGAAAAGTAGCTGATCACTGATCAGACCAAAGGAAAAAAAAGGGGGGGGGGCATCAAGAGCATGTTCTGGACCAGGAACAGTTTTTCCCTGGGCCCCAGCAAGGGCAACCAGTTAAAAATTGTTACCAAGGTTTTTAACGATAATGCAACCCTCAGTGTCCAGAAGTGGATCTTCTGGACTGCTAATCCAGTAATTGTCATTAGATATCTGTATTCTTCCTCCACTTCTGCCAGACCACATCCTTCATCCTGGAGAAAGTAAAATAATTAACTAATGCTGACATCCAGCTGATGCTGAAGAATCTGAATGTGTTCTGGCAGTGGTGTGCATGTTTCCATGACTTTCTGCAGGAACACTCGACCCTCCCAAATGTTAAGAATGGAGATAACAGAGGCTACCGTGTGTAGAGCAGGTACAACAGAAACACACAGGCATTAAAGGTGAATTGGGGTGGTGGAAAAAGAATCTTGCAGGTAAGCAACTGGGGAATCCAGGTTAGACAGAG